CAAAAGAATCTCTGCAAACCCATCTCAGATGGACATCTGACCCCACAAAGCCCTAAAGAATCCCTGCAAACCCATCTCAGGTGTGCACATCACCCCACAAAGCACCAAAATGTCCCAGCAATCCCATCTCAGGTGAAAATCTGACCCCACAAAGCACCAAACTGTCCCAGCAAACCCATCTTAGATGGACATCTGACCCCACAAAGCACCAAACTCAGGTGGGCCCCTGGCCCCACACTGTCCCAGCCTCTCAAACCCTTCTCCCTCACTCTCCTGACTCCTGAAATGAGGAAAGCCCAGACCAAGCCCTGCCCCAGCTCCCTGTGGCAGTTACCTTCCGGACCATCTGTACAAAATCCTTGGAGTTCTGAGGTGACAGCCCCTGGAGCTGGCAGGTGCAGGCCTCCAGGGAGGATGCATGAGCCACTATCAGGATGTTATTTCCTGAAATAAATTCAGAAACACAGCCTGAGTCTCGGGGTCTGGGTGTCGAGGTGACCCCAAGAGTGTAAAATCCTCATTTCCCAGCCCGTGCAGCCAAAGAAGTCTGAATGTGCAGGATCAGCTTCTCAAGGTTGTTTATTTTCCCTTATCCAGAACATTCTTTCTCTGACCTGCTGAGCTCTGTCCAGCAGCTCGGCCATGGCATTCTGTCTGCCCTCAGGGGGTGTTTGAATTTTATACCAAAAACTGCCTGTGCCATGTTTGCAATAACGTGCCAATATCTGTCATTTATGTTGGACAGTGTGTCTGTACCTTAAACCAACAGAAAAGTGTCACCAGCACAGCAAGACATGGAGGGCAAGGAGAAGAAGAAGGCCAGGACACGCCCAAACCTCTCCATCTTGTCCCCTTGAACCCCATTCTAAAAACCCTAAAATTCTACTTTTTCACCCTGTGTTAATTCAACTACCACACTGCTCAAACTCTTGTGGCTTGTAATTCCTCACACAAAGTTGGCAGGTTTTTTCCACGGGTGTTTTTGACTTTGTGCCAGGGTCTCTGAGCCCCTGCCAGGGTCTGGGGGTACCCAGGGCAGCAGAGGGATGAGCTGGGCTCCCACAGCAGCTGAGGAGGGAGGTAAAGCCAGATTTAGGGGCTTTATCAAGCAGCCTTTTAAAACATTTTATCATATAACAACACATCAAACTGTGAATTAAGGGGGAAATGGGATTTGTTAATGCGTTTAGAGCGTTTCTCAGTTTTCAGGGTAATGATTAACTCACTCCTACTTGGTTTAAAAATGTTTTCTGGAGAAAACAAGAATTCCAGTGAGATTTCAGCTGTGTTGGGAAGCAGATGCTTTTTGCCTATGCAAAAATTAATTCCTATTACAACGAACACTTTAATTTCACTTGCTGGCTTTGTACAGTGGGAGGTTTGCATTTCCACTTCCAAGATCTTTTACAACCAACGCCCCACTGTGCTTTTGAATTTTGTGTGCAAACCATTAAAACCAAAGCTTAGAATGCATAGACAGGTCAGTGAGATGAAATCAGTGAAAAGATCAGAATTCAGGAATTCTCAGAATGTTGTGGATCAACAATAACAGATGGGGATTTCTTTTAAAATTTCAATATTGTGTTTGGAGAATGTTCTAAGGTCTTTATGGGAATAGTGCAGGTGAACCTGGTGGGAAGAAATGCTGATGTCTACTCCAGCTCAGAAGACATTCTTTTCCAACTCTTTCCCAGGCTTCTGCCTGGCTAGAAATTCTCCGTTTCTCTCTTTGACTGAGTCTGAGACCCACAGGTCCAGACCAGTGGAATCTGAGACACACAGGATCTCACCTGTGTTGGCAGCTATTCCTATCCCCCTTCTTTTTCCTCTCTATCCTTTCTATTTCTTTTCTGACCCCCACTATGGCATTTATTGGTTTTGGCCCCTAATAAAGGTGCGTTTGTTGTTGATAGTCCCCTGCTGTTTGTCTTCTGCACTTTGGCTAAGGAACCATGGACGTTCCAAGGGGAGGGGAAGTTCCAAGAGGCGTATGGCCCCTCGGAGCCCCTTTTCAGGGGGCTTCAGGGTGGGCTGGAACAAGGCTCGGGCCAGTGGGGCTACAGACACCTGATGTTTTAGGAGAGGGGTAGAGGTGTGGGGTGACCCGTACATTCTGGGGGTGAGAGGGAACAGTCCACTCGAGCCCTGGCCCCATCCGTAGGCAGGGTGTTGGGAGGACCGTTCTCAGTTATTTGTGGCCAGTTCTGTTTCTCCACCCTTGCCAGCAGGCGGGCAGCGGCGCTCACCTTTGCCTTTGCACTCGCCGATGATTTCCTTGGTCACCTGGAAGCTGCGGCTGATGTAGGTGTCGTAGGACTCGGACACCGCCAGCTTGCTGACAGGGATGTGAGGTCTGGGGGGAAGCACAGCCAGGAAATGGGCCTTTGCTTTACAGATATTTGGTTTATAACAAGACAGAATTTATTGTATGCATATGTTTTATAATTGATATAAAGCGGAATTATATGTACATTATGTATTATATATACAATATTATATGTACAATTGCCAGTGATGTGGGAAATTTGGTTTCTAACAAGCCATAATTTATTTTAGGCATATGATTTATATAGAAATATATGTATATAATTGATATATAAATGTAATTATATATACATTATATATTATGTATACAATATTGTATATCCAATTGCCAGTGATGTGGGCAATTTGGTTTATAACAAGTCATAATTTCTTTTATTCATCTTTTTTATAAAGAATTATATGTATATAATTGATATATAAAAATGTAATTAGAATTATATATCCAATTGCCAGTGATATGGGCAATTTGGTTTATAACAAGCCATAATTTATTTTATGCATCACTTTTATATATAATGAAAATAATTATAATAAACACAATAATATAAAAATATAATTGTATATACTATATAATATAGCATATAATTATACAATAATTTTATATATATTTATATAAAATATGAATAATATATCTTTTATCTATTCCATACATATAATTTTTTATATATAATTATGTGTTAATAGAATTTATATATACATATATAAAAACTATATAGATTAATACATTATATATATATTTAATATATATTTTTCAATATATAATTTTCAGGATCATATATATTTAGATATATTTAGATATTCTATATGTGTCTCTATATAATATCAATGTATCATTTTCAGGTCATATATATATTTATATATCTATATTGATATTCTAGATATGTCTATATATATAATATTTATGTCGTTTTCAAGTCACATATATATTAATATATAGAATATATATTTTTAATATAAATATACACATATATATTCTATATAAAAAAATATATATTAAAAAAATAAAAACATGGAATAATATATATTATTATATATTATTATATATTATTATATATTATTATATATTATTATATATTATTATATATTATTATATATTATTATATATATAATATACAAATATATTTTATGTATTTTATTAAAATATATTAAAATAAAATATAAAAAATATATTAAAAACATAAAAGTTAAAAATCTATTAAAAAGATCAAATAACTATAAAAGCGAAGTGTGCTGTGTGTACCTGTAGGTTGTATCAACGCTGAGCGTGGCCGCAGCCAAATCCGCGGGCGGGATCCAGGCGGGCAGGGAGCTCCCGGACACCCACTTGGTCCACTCGAACAGGCCAGGCTCCACCCGGATCTTCAGCTTGTTCTCCTGCTGCATCCCTGGGAAAAAAGGAGAGGGGACAGGCAGCAATGGGAAGGGAGAGAGCAGCTCTAATGCTTCCGTTTGGCTGGTAATTTATTGGTTTCCTATGGGAAATTAAGTGTTTATTTCATGTATGCCCTACCATTCATTTGCACATAATTAGAACATTATTTTAAAAGTTGTTAAGTATAAAAATAATAAAAAAATCCATTTATAAGGTCCACTCGAACAGGCCAGGCTCCACACAAATTTTTAGCTTGTTCTCCTTCTGCATACCTGGGAAAGGGGAGAGGGGTCAGGCAGCAATGGGAAGGGAGAGAGCAGCTCTAATGCTTCGGTTTGGTTGGTAATTTTCTATAGAAAATTATTAAATTGTTGATTTAATGTATGCCCTACCATTTACTTCATTTACTTGTAAATAATAAAAAAAAAACCCAATTAAAAAAAAAGTTATTAATTATAAAATTTAAAAAAAAAAATTATCTATGCGGTCCACTCAAGCTTGGTTCCACCCAGATTTTCATGCTGTTCTCCTGCTGCATCCCTGGGAAAAAAGGAGAGGAGGCCAGGGAGCAAAGGGAAGGGAGAGAGCAGCTCTAATGCTTCAGTTTGGTTGGTAATTTTCTATAGAAAATTATTAAATTGTTGATTTCATGTATGCCCTATCATTTACTTGTAAATAATAAATAAACCTATTAAAATAAAAAAGTTATTAATTATAAAAATAAAATAAAAAAATAATTGATCTATGTGGTCCACTCAAGCCTGGCTCCACCCAAATTTTCAGCTTGTTCTCCTGCTGCATACCTGGGAAAGGGGAGAGGAGACCAAGGAGCAAAGGGAAGGGAGAGAGCAGCTCTAATGCTTCCGTTTGGCTGGTAATTTATTGGTTTCCTATGGGAAATTAAGTGTTTATTTCATGTATGCCCTACCACTCATTTGCACATAATTAGAACATTATTTTAAAAGTTGTTAATTATAAAAATAATAAAAAAATCCATTTATAAGGTCCACTCAAACAGGCCAGGCTCCACACAAATTTTTAGCTTGTTCTCCTTCTGCATACCTGGGAAAGGGGAGAGGGGACAGGCAGCAATGGGAAGGGAGACAGCAGCTCTAATGCTTCCGTTTGGCTGGTAATTTATTGGTTTTCTATGGGAAATTAAGTGTTTATTTCACGTATGCCCTACCATTCATTTGCAAATAATCAAAGCGTTATTTTAAAAGTTGTTAATTATAAAAATAATAAAAAAAATCCATTTCTAAGGTCCACTCGTGTAAGCCTGGCTTTTTGTGGTGTTCCCTGCAGGAGCTGCAGAGGGCTCGGCCTCGGGGCCCGTACCTCTCAGGATGTTGTGGGCTGTCTGCACGCAGCGCAGCGACGGCGAGCTGTAGATGTAATCCACAATGGTGTTGGTTTCCAGCAAGGCTTCACCTGCGGGGAAGTTGAGCTCCTTGTCAATAAATCCAGGTAGATGGTCCTGCAAGGAGCTCTGCTCATGGCTCTGGCCAAAAAAAAACCTGCCAGAACTATTGCAAAGCTGGTGGGTTTAATTTCATTTCATTTTGAGCGGTAAATCAAATTATTCAACACAGCTCAACCCCAGCTGAACTCCTCTGGCTGGATGCTCTGCTGGCATAAATCAGCGTTTCATTTCACAGCTGGGAGAGCTCTGCAAACGAGGTAAGGATCACCTCCACTTCCAGGCTGGTTAATGTGTTAATATCAGGGGTTTAATATTCCTGTATCGGGGTTTTCATATGCCTGTATTGGGGTTTTAATATTCCTGTATCGGGGTTTTAAATGTTTCTGTATCAGGGTTTTTAATATTCCTGTATTGGGGGTTTTAAATGTTCCTGTATTGGGGTTTTCATATTTCTGTATTGGGGTTTTTAATATTCCTGTATCAGAGTTTTAAACATTTCTGTATCAGGGTTTTTAATATTCCTGTACTGGGGTTTTAAATGTTTCTGTATCAAAGTTTTTAATATTCCTGTATTGGGGTTTTAAATGTTTCTGTATCAAAGTTTTTAATATTCCTGTATTGAGGTTTTAAATGTTTCTGTATCAGGGTTTTTAATATTCCTGTATTGGGGGTTTTAAATGTTTCTGTATCAAAGTTTTTAATATTCCTGTATTGGGGTTTTAAATGTTTCTGTATCAGGGTTTTTAATATTCCTGTACTGGGGTTTTAAATGTTTCTGTATCAGGGTTTTTAATATTCCTGTATCAAGGTTTTAATATGCCTGTATTGGGGGTTTTTAATACCACCAGCAAAGTGTGTCCTTGTCCCTTGAGTGCCACAGCAAAGTGACCTTTGGAAGAGGAAAATTGCTGGGAAAGGTGAAGGAACTTTGCAAAGCTCCTTGAAAATTTAAATCCCGCTAGCTCAGGGCATCCAATCCATTTTTTTCTGCCCTGCACCTTTCCTTCCTCTGATGGGGGTGTGGGAGGAAGATAGTGAAGCTTCTGGGAAAGATATTCATGGAATGCTTTGGGTTGGAAAAACCCCAAAACCCCATGGGCAGGGACACCTGGTTGCTCCAAACCCTATCCAACCTGCCTTTGGACACTTCCATGGATGGACAACCTGTGCCACACTCACGGGGAACAATTCCTTCCAAAAATCCCCCCCAAAATCCCCCCCAAAATCCCCAATCCTTTGCCTGCTGAGCAGCACTTACCCACGAGCCTCGCCTGGGTGCAGCCCAGCACGGTGATGGGAGCATCCTTCTCGTAATCCCTGAAACCACCACTCCTCTGAGGTAAATTGTGAGGCATGTTCAGGTTACTGCGCATGTACCTGCCTGCAGGAGAGGTGCCAAGCTGGAATTATTCCCCCA